TAAACAACACACCTGACCCTCTGATGGACCACAAAGCATGTGCATGTGAAATCACATGTGCTATTATGGTTAAAATAAAGAGTGCATTATCTGTGGATGCTTGCTGAGAACCCATAGAAAAGTAATAGTGTGTCTATGGTAATGTTTGACCATTCTTCCAGAAGCGCATTTGTGAGGTCAGGTACTGATGTAGAACGAGAAGGCCTGGCTCGCAGTCTCCGCTCTATTTCATCCCAAAGGTGTTCTTTCGGGTTGAGGTCAGGACTCTGTGCAGGCCAGTCAAGTTCCTCCACCCCAAATTCACTCATCCAAGTCTTTATGGACCTTGCTTTGTGCACTAGTGCGCAGTCATGTTGGAACAGGAAGGGGCCATCTCCAAACTGTTCCCACAAAGTTGGAAGCATGAAATTGTCCAAAATGTCTTGGCATGCTGATGCCTTAAGAGTTCCTTTCACTGGAACTAAGGGGCCTAACCCAACCCCTGAAAAACAACCCCACACCATTATCCCCCCTCCACCAAACTTTACACTTGGCACAATGCAGTCAGGCAAGTACCGTTCTCCTGCCAACCGCCAAACCCAGACACGTCCATCGGATTGCAGGACAGAGAAATGTGATTTGTCACTCCAGAGAACACGTCTCCACTTCTCTAGAGTCCAGTGGTGGCGTGCTTTACACCACTGCATCCGACGCTTTGCATTGCACTTGGTGATGTAAGGCTTGGATGCAGCTGCTCGACCATGGAAACCCATTCCATGAAGCTCTCTACGCACTGTTGTTGTGCCAATCTGAAGGCCGCACGAAGTTTGGAGGTCTGTAGCTATTGACTCTTCAGACAACTGGCGACTTCTGTGCACTTAAGCATGTGCTGACCCCACTCTGTCATTTTACGTGGCCTACCAGTTGCTTCCACTTTGTTATAATACCACTAACAGTTGACCGTGGAATATTTAGTAGCAAGGAAATTTCACGGAACACCTGAATCCAATGATTTGGAGGGGTGTCCCAATATTTTTGGCAATATAGATATATATATACACATACATACACCGGCCACTTTATTAGGTACACCTGTTCAATTGCAAGGTAACACAAATTGCTAATCAGCCAATCACATGGCAGCAACTCAATGCAATTTTGAGTACCATCATTTTTTGTCATTGTATGGGGTGCACACAGTTGTAACGCTTGACATGCTCGTTATTTATTTACTTGATGTAACCCCATCTTTTATATTTGACCAAAAAAAGGATATTAAATTGTTTGTGTGCACTAAAATTCATTTAAGTGGTATTTTTTTTTCCTAAAAAATATTGATTTGATAAACATTTGCGCAAATATCATGCAAAAAAAAAGTCAGCTACCGTTTTTTTTAGTCTACAGAAAAATATGATTGTGTGCGGCTATAAAGTAATTTTCTATCCAAAAATCCAGATTGTAATAAGTGCGTGCAAAAATGACAAAATTGCTCTGGTACTAAGGTGACAAATTAACCCTTGCAGTGGGGCTACCCCCACAATGTAAGGGTTAAGTGCTTGTTTTGATCATGGGTTTAAAATTAAAAAAAAAAAGATATACCCACCCGATCCTCAATCCTGCCTGGCTGTTAGATCAGTCCCCACAACCACTTCTCCCCTGGACTCTGGCAGTCTAAATCCCGCTGATGTCCTTACGTTTAATCCTAGTCCATTGACGTGCATTGGAAGTAAGGATGTCGCGGGACATACAGCTGGAGCGGAGGGGCAGAGAGGTCAGTGGTCACCGCTGCAGGATTGAGGATGTTGTTGGGGCTGTCACTAAAGAGGACCTGGACTAAAAAAGTGAAGATTTGCTATGTTCTAGTGAACATCTAGAAATGTTACCTGTATATCTGCAATGTAAGATCATCTAACACACTGCTGCCTTTGACTGCTAGTCTGAGGAGAATTGGAATACAATTAAGTGATGTCAGAAATGTGCTGCTCGCTGTTGTCCTTGCTGAAAGCTCTGCCATGAAGAAGCAAAACTGTGCCCCTAGCAAATGGCTGCCTCCACGCAGAGACAAAGTACAGAGCAAGGATTGATGAGTCAGTAATGTGGAAAAGACCAGATGTAGGCAGACCACAGCAGGGATCTCAAGTCTCCCTGATGTTCAGGGAGTCTCCCTCTATTAGATAGCGGCTCCCTGACGAATAAAAAAATAAGAAAGGGCACCTCCCTGAAATAAGGTTTTGCAGGTTGGGATGTCTGCCACAGGCAATACTGGGGACTAGTCCTTTGTCCTCTACTTTTTTTTTTGGCACAGCTTCCATAGCTCAATTCCTCTTTAAAGAGAACTATGGCCAAACCCTTTTTTGGCCGCAGTTCTCTTTAGGATCACAGGAGGACATTTTCTAAAGTCTTCCTGTAACCCAAAACTCAGCATATTCCTGGCTATTTCCCGCTATATGCTGACAGTGCAGAGCACCGATGCAGCTGGGAAAGATACTGACAATATTGTCCAGATCCACCCAGCTGCCTGATTGATATCTGGCTTTGCCTCTCTAGAGCCAGAGCCAGCTGTGCCCGCCGCCTTCCCTGTCTGTCCCTCCAAGGAGCTCTGGAGAAACAGAGAAGGGGGGAATCCCTGTAGGGAGCAGTGACAGTGACCACTCTGCATGGAGAAAATCAGGAACTGAGCGATCAGCGGTATGTGATCATTCAGTTCTCAATCAATAGAGCCGACGCGTGACAGCTGCAGTGTCACACGTCGGCTCTAAAGCTGCCCATACACCTTGCGATCATCGTATGAAACTTTGTGTCCGATGATCGAACCGTCCTACAATATTCGTACGGCGGCCCCATCCTGCCCCAATTATTGCAAGGTTGAAATAGCATTAATTAAAAGAAAGCACCTGGATGAATTGCGGTTATCGACCGCATGTATGTTCGTCTGCGCATGTGCAGTGTAAATCGTACGAATTTTGACGTACAGAAACGCCACCAACCTTGCGAAAATCGTGCGATCGACCGAAGTTTTCTAACCTGCTGGATAATCAAAAGTCGATCGATTGTACAGTATTTGCGGTTGTACACTGTCCATTAACCTTACGAATATTGGACGAAAATACAATCGCATACGAAAATCGGCCGATATTCGTAAGGTGTATGGGCAGTGTACAACCGCAAATACTGTACAATCGATCGACTTTTGATTATCCATTACTATGGGAATGAGTCAATTTCACTCTTCCCATAATTCTCCTTCAGGGCCTGTTCACACAACGTCCGTTTTCTGTGCTCCTGCACTAAAAATGCATCCCAATGTATCCCTATGTGTTTTATGGGCTACAGTTCTCACGTGCGCAGTACGTTCAGGCTACGACAGAAAAAATACTGCATGGCACATTTTGTCCGGTCAGGAAACGGACCGGAAACGCAAAATGCGTCAAAGACGCACTGCACTGCAGCTAACATACTGAAAGTCCCACTCCAGCAAAAAATCAGTAGCACCGCGTCTGCAGATCCGCACCTGATATCATGTGAACAGGCCCTCAATGTGAACCTGTGGTTTCAATGACAGCTGAAACAATGCAGCTGCATCAGTGTTGTCAGTCCAAGGACTACTTTGGGATCTGTCAGTAGGATGTAGTGGGGGAGGGAAACTAGGAGACTGGGGTGCATTGAATTAAGGGGTCCTAGGTGGCGCTCAAGGGCATTCCGCGTGTCGGGATCCTCTGGCAGTCGCGGGCCAGCTAAATTAGGACCCCACCTGGAGCTCATACGTGTCATAAACTGACATTGGATGCATGCTGCGTTTGTTCCTGGAAACCCCTCAACACAGGACACTACACCGAAGCAGGTGTCAGTGTCTCAGGGCCTGTTCACACGACATCCGTTTTCTGTGCTGACCTGATCCGTACGCTCCTGCGCTAAAAATGCATCCCAATGTATCCCTGTGTGTGTGTTATGGGCTACAGTTCTCACGTGCGCAGTCCGTTCAGGTTACGACAGAAAAAATACTGCATGTCACATTTTGTACGGTCTGGAAACGCTCCGGAAACATAAAACGCATCAAAACGCGTCAAAAACGCACTGCACTGCAGCTAACATACTGACAGCCCCACTCCAGCAACATTTTTTTATTTTTTTTAACTGGAACGCATCAAAAACGCGGCAAAACACATAGCACCGCGTCTGCAGATCCGCACCTGAAACTCATGTGAACAGGCCCTTAGGGGGGAATCTATCAACACTGGAGCAGACATAATCTGGAGCAGTTGCCCATAGCAACCAATTAGCTTCTCTCTTCAGTTTGTTCAGTTAAGATTTGAAAATGAAAAAGAGAAGCTGATTGGTTGCCATGGGCAGCCTCTCCAGATTTTCTCTGCTCCAGTTTTGATAAATTTCCCTCTCTACTGTATACAACATAAATTACTCACACTCTAAAGGTGCCCATACACTGCGCGATTATCGTACGATAATCGTATGCGATCGGTTTTTCGTACGATAATCGAGCAGTGTGAACGGAGACGTGCGACCGTTTCTACTGTACGGTCGCACGTCTTCTGTCGAACCAGCATGTTCGAAAACCAGCCGGGAATCGTACGATTCTCGGCTGGTTAGAACGGTGCTCGGAAGATAAATGCTGAACGGGCCGGTGTGCGCACGCGCACACTGCCCGTTCAGCATTGTGGTCATCGGAAGCCCGCCCCTCATGGGGGCGGGCTTGCGATGATCGAGAGTGCGATCTGCCTGTCCAAGATAGGCAGATCGTACGTTTTTTTAATCCCTTTACAACCATCGCAAGACTAAAGTCTTGCGATGGTTGTAGAGTGTATGGCCACCTTTAGAAAGCAATTACAGTATCGATGTGGGGAAAATGCAACCAAATATGCGTGACATAAACAGCTTTATGATACTATTTTCGCACTCATACAACGACGTTAGTTACTTTGCTGATGATAGCCAGTAGATAATTAACTAAGGCGTAACCTCCATCATAAAGTTCAAGCACTGCCCTTAACAAACATGTCTCCTCCTACACTGTAAGACGTGCACGCAGGCTACGTACGGCAGGCGGACAGACCTTATTTCCGCTTCCGGCTCCAGGGTGTCCTTGTCCTTTAGTTGCGGCTAGTGAGAACTTGAAGTGAGAGGATGGGCAGCATGTTCCGCAATCTCCTGGTAAGGGGCCGCTCATAGAATCTCCGTGTGCTGTATGTGATCGCCATCTTTCCCGTATACATGGCGGGGAGCTCGGCACGTCTGTCCTCACCCATCACATTGCAGTGCTTGTGTTCTGAATGAATTGGTGACCTTGTCTTCCCAGCTTCTGACCGCGGTGTCATGTCTGTGACCGCTTTTATAGTAAGACTTACATGTGTCAGGGTTATAGGGAGATCATTACCTGTGTAGGAGGTTATTAGTATGGTGATCGCAGACCAGGTAGAGGAATACCTAATTTGTCCTGGTTCACATCACAGCAGACCTAGGCCTTGTACTCAAGAGGAACCTTTCATTTCATTTTCAGGTCTTAGGGAAACCCCTGCTAAAATTAATTGGGGGGCCACTGGGAAGAATGCACCTATAGATTGGGGGGCCACTGGGAAGAATGCACCTATAGATTGGGGGGCCACTGGGAAGAATGTCTTCAATACATTGGCAGGGAAATTATGCTCTACCTCCTATACATGAGGGGGAATGGCTGCCTTTGCGTTGGGCAACAGGGGAGGAACGCTACGCCCCACCTCCCTTACTGTGGGGCTCAGGGGGAAAATTCTCCCCCCCCCCCCCCTCCTTTACAGAGGGGGTAGAATGCTCCCGCCCATCCCCAGGGGCAAGACATTTGCTTGCATCAAGGGTCAGTAGAAAGAATGTCTCTTACACTGGTGTTCAGGGAAGGGGGGCCCTATACAGTGGTGGTCAGAAGGCCATCTTTACAGACAAATGAATCATTGGCCTCATGCTGGTGGTTTAGACCCACCTCTATGTAGGCACCCCTGGAAATCCCTAATAATAATGTCTGCTTTAGTGGACATGTCTCCTCCTCTAGATACATATTGCAGAATAGAGTATGTTCTCCTTTAATGCATTTACTAGGCAGGATGTCATTGTGTGCTGTCACTTCCTGCTTTGGGTTTTTACTGCACTTTGTGTCATAGTGCTTGTTACAGAAGTGTTACCACATTGATATTAGAATATTAGACTGGACTTTTCTACCTGTCTGCTACATACAGTGAGGGTGGGACTTTTTTTGTACATTTTCTTGGATTATGTTGGTTCTACAGTATATGATAAGTTGGAGAGGAATACTGCCTTTCTTTTTAGAAATGGTTTTGCTTGAAGGTCAATAAAAGCAGTGGTGCATTACATTTACTTTAATGGATGTTCTGTAAACAAATGAATTAGCTTTTAGTGACAGTTATTGAAGCTGAACTCCAGGCAATCCACTAAATACACATAAAACATGATAAAGCTGTCTTACCTGCCGAAGGATTTGTTTTTCTGCCCACCCAGTTCTGAGAGGTACACAGTTCTGTCGAACCACACAGTCCTATCTAGTAGGGTAGAAGACCTGTTTTTTCATCTTCTGCAGGTCTTTTCACCATCCCCACCCTGTGACAAGCCAGTGAAAGGAGAAGCGGCAGACCGATGAGGACATCGTCTTCCATAAGCATGCTCTTGTGCTGCTTCCTCCTCCGGTCTGAGCTGTGATTTACGGGACTGCAAGAGGCTGATGCCACGTTTAGGAATTTTCACTGCTTGCAGCTAAAGACTTCGGGGGGGGGAGGGGGGGGTTGTGATCTTAACCCTTACGGTGGGGATACCCCCGCACTGCAAGGGTTAAGTGCTCGTTTTCATCTAGGGAGGAAAATTAAAAAGTTATACATACCCGATCCTTGGAGATGGCTCGCTCTTAGACCGGTCCTCCCAGCCTCACTTCCCCCGCCGCTCTAGCTGTCTAAGGTCCCATGAGTCATCATATTTTACACACTATGTATAGGACAGGAGGCTGCTGGAGGAAGTACTGTAACAGCCAGCCTGGCTGTGAGGTTCAAATGAGTATAACTTCATTTTAGCACCTAGACAAAAATGAGCACTTAACCCTTACAGTGCGGGGGTAGCCCCTTTGCAGGGGTTTAGATGCAACCCCCCCCAAGTATTCTTCAAAAATATGGTTTGAAGAGTGTGCTTGACAACACACAAGCACTTGGAGGTGAAGATTAATACCCTC